GATCGCGTTCATTCGTCAACGACACGTATCAGCCTCATGTTTCGCACACAATTCGATGATTCTGCTCTGTTCTATGCGAGCGGTGAATCGCTCAAACATCAGTACATCGCCGCATCCATTAAAAATCAGTCAATTTATGTTGAAATGGATTTCGGTGACATACCCATCTCCACCGTCCTGACGGATCAGCTGACACGTAATAATTGGCACAATTTGACCATTTCGCATGAACAGCGTACGGTGCGCATTATACTCGACCAGCAGATGAAGATACTCGAAATACCAGCTACAGTGAGTGGCAACCTACTCTTCGATCCGGAAATTTATTTTGGCGGCGGACCGGATTTGCATAAGAAGAAGGGTCTGGCATCGCATAATAATTTCGTCGGTTCGTTAAAGAATGTCTACTACAACGATGTGTCCATATTGTATGAGCTGCATCGTGGCAATCCGAAAGTTCACTATCATGGTAAGTATGAACACACACACATATATATTTCGAAAACGAAAAAAAATACAAATCTACGTGCAGGATATTTGGATTATGGGTGGGTATTTGGGCAAAGGGGCCAATAGTTGGCATTACCCCATCTTCCCCTCCTTTTCAGTAGAATCATGCAATGGCCAAATAAGCGAATGAGGCCATCAAAAATCTACAAATGGATACAAGCTTACATTTGTTGTATACAAAAAACATACACACACACTCACAAAAAATATGTTGCATGTCTGACTAGTATGCTGCATCTGCTGGCTATGCTTCCGTGTATACCATTCATGTACATGCATCCATACACACACTCACACATATCTGTGTTGCTCTATAATCTTGTTTTCCTGATGTGCATGTGCAGAGATAATGTATATTTATGACACAATGGGTTATAAGAATAATTTGTTAAAAATCTGTATAATCCGAATGGGGTTTTATTATTGAACAAATTAAAAGTACAATTTTTTTCATTCACTTTTGGCTGACAGAGTTCCCATGTGATATGATGGTGGGCATTTGGGAAGATAGGATAACATTTGCCATACAATACCGCCATAGATTTTTGTATGGTCTGCAAAGCGGAATATTTAATTTTCATTTGCTTTGATAAGACATCCGATTTTCTTCGATGACACTGATCTTCTTTAGACTTTCTGTCATTTCATTTTTCGTGAGGACATTACGTCCTTCTGTACGAAGGTTTTTGATCTTCTCTAAGAATATATTAAGCTATTCTCTTAAAAGATATTACCTAAGAAGTGTCCTCCATAAAAATAATGTCTGCTCTGCCGCAAGAAGTATTCTATAAGAAAGCCTCTGTCCTTCTATTCAGTGTCCTTATGGCCTTCTATAAGGAGAACAGGTGATATTCTATAACATTGCCTTTTGTTCTTCTTCCTCCTGGTATTCTATAAGATGTTTTTATGATACTTCAAAAAATTGTCTGGTCTTCTAAAAGAAGATCTTCTGGATTTTTACAAGAAGACCTCTAGTCTTCTATAAAAACCCCTTTTGTCTGCTCTAATAAAACCTTCAGGACTTCTATTGAAATATCCTCCGGTCTCCTATAAGAATACCTTATGCTTTTATAGAAAAGCATTCCAGCAGGTCTTCCTAAAGAAGACCTGGTGTTCTATAGGACCTTCAGGACTTCTATTGAAAAATACTTTGTTCTCCTATAAGAATACCTTATGCTTTTCTATAGAAAAGCATTCCAGCAGGTCTTCCTAAAGAAGACCTGGTGTTCTATAGGATGAACATTTGTTTTGGGAAAGCCTTCTGTAGGAATACTTTTAGCCATTTGGTCTTCCATAGTGTCTTCTATAGGAATATCTACCGGAAGGTCTTCCTAAAGATGGTCTTGTGTTCTATAGGGTGAACATTTGTTATACCCTTCACCACACTGTGGTACAGGGTATTATGTCTTTGTGCACGAGATAGATACATGGTTCCTTTTGAGAATACGCATAGATTCATTTTCTGAGTCGATATACGCATGTCCGTCCGTCCGTCCGTTTGTCCGTCTGTCGGTCCATGTATTTTTGTGAACAAAGTACAGGTCGCATTTATGATCCGATTTGGATGAAATTTGGCATAGGTCACTTATTTGGCCCAAGGATGAACCCTATTGAAATTGGGAAAAATCGGTTCAGATTTAGATATAGCTCCCATATATATTTTCGTCTGATTTAATGTCTTCCTATAGAAGAAAAGAAGGTCTTCCTATAGAAGAACAGACAGTCTTCTTATAGAAGAACAGAAGGTCTTCCTATATGAGATCAGAAGATTTTCCTATAGGAGACCAGAAGGCTTTCCTATAGGAGACCAGAAGATCTTCTCATATTAGATCTGAAGGTCTACCAATAGAAGACCAGAAGGCCTTACTTCTTTCAAAGAGACCGGAAAGTCTTCCTTTAATGTTAATGGTCCACCACAGTCCCTATATATCTTTCGATTTGCACGAAATTTGGCACAGCGTAATGAATTAGGTTTAGAATGATGTGTCTTAAATTTCCTGAAAATCGGTTAAGATTTAGATATAGCTCCCAAATATATATTCGCCCAATTTAATGTAAATGGTGCTCAAAGTCCCTATATATCTTTCGATTTGCACGAAATGTGGCATAACGTGTGTGTTGATGTGTGTTAAGTTTCTTGAAAATCGGTTTAGATTTAGATATAGCTCCCATATATATTTTCGTCCGGTTAAATGTAAATGGTCCACCAAAGTCCCTATATATCTTTCGATTTTCACGAAATTTGGCACAAGGTAATGAATTAGGTTTAAAATGATGTGTGTTAAGTTTCCTGAAAATCGGTTAAGATTTACATATAGCTTCTATATCTGACCTTAAGAAAAATTTAGTATCGGTTGCAGAATGACATGTTTATGGATCCAATTTCATTTTACTTGTCCTTTAAAAATGCGACCTCTGTTAGGATTCATCTGTTAAACATACACAAAGTATGTCCGGTTAAATGTAAATGGTCCACCAAAGTCCCTATATATCTTTCGATTTTCACGAAATTTGGCACAGCGTAATGAATTAGGTTTAGAATGATGTGTGTTGAGTTTCCTGAAAATCGGTTAAGATTTAGATATAGCTTCTATATCTGACCTAAAGAAAAATTTAGTATCGGTTGCAGAATGACATTTTTATGGATCCAATTTCATTTTACTTGTCCTTTAAAAATGCGACCTTTGTTAGGATTCATCTGTTAAACATACACAAAGTGATGAAGGGTATCATATAGTCGGACCCGTCCGACTTTACTACTTTCCTTATTGTTTTTTTTCGGAATATGTTTTGGGTTTCTTTAGGATAGTCTTCTGTATGAAGACCTTCTGGTCTCTTTAAAAGAAGGAAGACTTTCTGGTCTTCTATTGGTAGACCTTCTGATCTACTATGAGAAGATCTTCTGGTCTCCTATAGGAAGATCTTCTGATCTCATATAGGTAGGCTTTCTGTTCTTCTATAGGAAGATCTTCTGATCTCATACAGGAAGGCTTTCTGCTCTTCTATAGGAAGACCTTCTGGTCTTCTATAGGTAGACCTTCTGGTCTTCTATGTGGTCTTCAATCGGAATACCATCTTGTATTCTATAAGAGGACCTTCTGCTCTTCTACAAGAAAACCTTCTTGTCTTCTATAAGAGGACCTACTGGTATTCTTCTTATAAAGGAAGATCTATTAGTATTCTATAAAAATACCTTCTAGTTATCTATAGGAAGACTTTCTTGACTTCTAAGTTAAGTCCTTCAGGTCTTCTATAGGAAGACCTTCTATAAGAACACTCTCTTAGTGTTCTGTAGAAGACCTCTGGGTTTAATTCTGTTAGAAGAAAAGATTTTATTATATTGCAAGAAGACCTTTAAGACTTCTATTAAAACTCCAACTGGCCTTTTTCAGGTCTTCTGTAGAAAAAAACAACATTCTGATCTTCTGGTCTGTAAAGGAAGATCTACTGGTCTTCTGTATGAAGAATTTCTTGTCTGCTATGACCAGTGTTGCCAATTTAGCACTTTTAGTGCTAGATTTAGCACTTTTTGAACTCGTTTAGCACCAAAAAAATTGATCTAGCACCTAGCACTTTTTTTAGCATTTTTTAATTTCTTAGGATTTTTTTTACAAAGATTTGGTTTCAATGCAAAAAATCCCGTTTTTCGATTTCATATTGAATTTTCGCTATGTGCCGTGCATTCAAAATTTCTTAAAAAAATGTCGGGTACTTCATGTGGGGGCTATGATATTGTCTGTTGGTAGATTGTTTATTTGGGAAAATGAAAAACCAAATTAAGTTGTACATTTTATGAGAGCGATGTAAAAATAATGAACATGAATTATGTTGGAACTTTCTGAAAACAAGTTTTTTATTCAGCGGGAATCCCGAATGCCAAGTTATAACCACTTTAGATTACCGAAAAGGCGAGCGTACCCATTTATATTGGGATTGTGCCATAATAATGAAAAAGCGTTATGCTCGGCCGGGCCGGTTATATGGGGACTACCCCTAAAAAAGGGTGAATATTAATAATTTTTGGTGGGGAGATTTGTAACCATATACGACTACAAAATACCAAATTTCAGCGAATTCTGTTGAAAAACGCGCTCCAGAACCTCAAAATATCGAAAATTGGCGGTACCGTTATATGAAGCTACCCGAAAAAATTGACCCATATTTATAATTTTTTGTGGAGAGATTTTCTACACAATAAGAACTAAATAACAGCCAATTCGGTCAAAATTACCCAAAAACTGGAAATTGGGAGGTACCCTTATATGGGTGCAACCAGAAAAGGTGGACCTATATTTATAATTTTAAGTGAGGAAATTTGGTACCCAATAAGAACTCTATGTACCAAATTTCAGCTAATTCGGTTGAAAACCGCGTTCATGAACCCTAAAATAAGGGGTACCCTTATATGGGGGCTATCCGAAAAAATTGACCTATATTTTGTACCCAATAAGAACTCAAAGTACCGAATTCCAGCGAATTCGGTCGAAAAATGCGATCAAACTCCCCAAAATACCGCAAAATTGGGGGTACCTTTATATGTGGGCTATCCGAAAATATGGATGCCTATTTATAATTTTTAGTGGAGATATTTGGTACCGAATAAGAACTCAATGTACCAAATTGTCCTCAGATGGATATGGCTATATCGTCATATATATACTTTATAGGGTCGGAAATGATTATTTCGATGAGTTACAAACTGAAATACAAAATTAATATACCCTCCATACTATGGTGGAGGGTATAAAAATGTGCCTAAAAGCTTAAAAAAATATTGGGGTATGTTGTACCCAAAAAGGACCATTTCCAATATCAAATCTCATAGAAGTAGTTCAAACGTATGTGCAAAATTCCAAAGCTCTGTCTTCAATATTGCGACCTCAATGCGACGGACATGGCTAAATCGACAACGAATAGCAGTTAACAATAAATGGGGTATCTGATTAATATTTCATTATTAATTATTAACAATTTTGTTCTAGAATTTTTTAGCACTTTTTTCTGGCACTTTTTTAAATTATTTAGCACTTTCTAGCATTTTTTTCAACAAAATCTAGCATTTTTCCTCAACAAAGTTTTGGCAACACTGGCTATGACAAAACCTTCTGGTCTTCTCTAGGAGGACTTTCTTGACAGTTAAAAATTATCTTCTATAGGAAGGTCTCTTTGTCTGATTCTTGGCCTGATAAAATAAAGACCACCTGTCATTTTATAAGAAGACCTATACGAGCAACTCCTGATCATTTATAAGAAGATGTTCTGGTCTTCAAAAAAACCTCCTTCTTATCCTTAATGGTATTACTTTTATACGATCACCTTCAACCTGCCTAGGATCTTTGCTAGAAAGACACTCTCATCTTTTAAAGAAAGACACCTTCTTTTTATTTATGGGAAAGCCTACCACCTTATATGTGATTAGCTTCATTTGGCCATTCATGAGCAGATGATTTGTGTATTTCATACTTCTCCTCTGCCAATAAAAGACCCCTAACCACTTTCCGCCCTTAATATTCCCTTTTGCAATAACCCTATTTATGTTATGGTCTTTATCTGACTGGTACTTTACTTCATTTAATGGGTCTTATGTTACATAATTATCTCATATAATTAAAAACGTTTGCACGGCTATTTTAAATGTTTATCTAAATAAATTTAAGCACTCACACCCGTGGCAACGAGGTGCATTTAAATGTAACTACAAACGTGTGTATGTATGTCATGTATGTTATGTCATTTACTTTACTGCACAAGTTAATGTCATGCTGGGAGGATGCCAACGGGACCAACAAAAAAAAAACGAAATAACAACTGCGGATAAAATTGTAAACCAAGTCAGTGACGAAGGGGTGGTATTTTTAGTAAATGACCCAAATTAAATTAGTAATGTAGAATATTAAATTTTATTTATAATAAATAACATTCACAAGGGACATGTCAAAATGCAACAAAAAATGAAAGGAAGGATATGTTGAGGTGTAAATAGTTGTGAATGTGATTTAGAGTTTAAATTCCCTTTCGACATTTAAATTAAAATTTTACATTTCGGATCACGTATTCTATACGAATAGCATCACTGGACAATTACTAGAATGTACTGTAGAATATTATGATATAAATTTTGGAAAAAAGCCATTGATTAACATCATTTACTTGTTTCCTATTTGAAAATATTCTCTGCTTCTGCATAAAGAAACTAGTAAAGAAAGTTCAAAAGTCGGACTGGGTCGACTATATGATACCCTTCACCACTTTGGGTACATATAAGAGATGTTAGTATCAACAATATCTAAACTTGGAGGACCTTTGAGATGGAATCGGGCGAAATTAAATGTGCTATGTAGATAGATATTTGAACCAATTAAAAAAACCCATACACATACCATTCCGAAATCTGTGAAAAATTGCATGTAAAACGGGCAGACTTGGATTCTTTGGTGTACTATTTGTATGAAATCGAGTAAAATTATGTATGGGAGCTATATATAAACAAATGGACCTATATCAAAATCTGAACCGACTTCAACAAACCTTAACACACGTCATTCTAGACTTATTTCAGTACGCCATGCCAAAATTCGTGCAAATCGAATGATTTTCAGGGACTTTGATGTACCATTTACCTAAAATCTGAACCGATTTTCACGAAACTTAGAACACGTCATTCTACACATAATTCAGTACGCTATACCAAAATTCGTGCTAATCTAATGATTTTCAGGGACTTTGGTGCACCATTGACGTAAAATCGGGCGAAAGTATATATGGGAGCTATATCTAAATCTGAACCGATTTTCACGAAACTTAGCACACATCAATCTAGACTTAATTCAGTACGCTGTGCCAAAATTCGTGCAAATTGAATGATTGTCAAGGACTTTTGTGCCCCATTTACCTTAAATCGGACGAAAATATATATGGGAGCTATATCTAAATCTGAACCGATTTTCTCCAATTTCAATAGGGTTCGTCCCTGGGCCAGATAAGTGACTTGTGTCAAATTTCATTCAATTCCGATTATAAATGTGACCTGTACTTTGTTTACAATTTAACATCAACAGACGGGCGGACATGCATAAATCGACTCAGAAAGTGATTCTGCGGATATTCTCAAAAGAAACAATGGGTCTATCTCGATTTTTTTTTTTTTTTTTGCCTGTTACAAACATATGCACAAAGACATAATACCCTGTACCACAGTGTGGTGAAGGGTATAAACATTCAGATACCTTATGAGAAGGCGTGATCTTCTCGGATGTGGCTTAAGATCTCTCATAAAATATTTTTTCTGGATTTCTATAATAAAAACATTTCCAGTCCATGAGAAAAACTTAGGGCATTCTAATAAAAATTGACTGAAGACCAATCCTGGTCTGCATATAAAATCATTTCGTTTTTTCAGAACGTATGATCTCGTATAAGTCCTTTATTTTTTCATGAGAGGAAGGTTCCAATGGATTGGGAAGAATTCATTTCAGTTGAATTCATTTTAGTTGTTAGTTTTAAGATCATTCTGTTAGAAGAAAATATATTATATTGCAAGAACACCTTCAGGACTTCTATTGAAACTCCCTCTGGTCTTTTTTAGATCTTCTGTAGGAAGATATCCTTATCTGCTAAAGGAAGACCATCTGGTGTTCTATAGAAAGACTTTATTGTCTTCTATGATAAAACCTGCTGGTCTTCTATAAGAGGACTTTCTTGACGAAAAAAAAATATATTCTAGTCTTCTATAGGAAGTCCTCTTTGTCTGCTTCTTGGCCTGATAAAATAAAGACCAGCTGTCCATTCATAAGAAGAACTAATTCTGGTCTATATAAAGAAAACTTCCACTCTTCTGGTCCTGGTCTGCCTAAGAAATCATTTCATTTTTTTTTCAGAATGTATTATCTTGTGTAAGTCCTTTATTTTTTCATGAGAGGAAGGTTCGAATGGATTGGGAAGAATTAAATTCAGTTTTTAGTTTTTAATAAGATGACACTTACAGATGCAGTCCTTCTTTTCCTATTCATATATTCATCAGGACGTATACTTGGTCATGAGGAATTTTATGATCATCCTAATGGCTTATTCCTTCATTTCAATTTCCAAAATTTATTTCTCATGTCTGCAATAATTTATTTGACTTCAATATGTTTTTATTTTATTTATTTCTTTTTTTTTTTTTTTTTTTTGTATTTTCCGAAGATAGCCAATATCCTTAATTGTATAGCTATGAATGATATCAAAAGTTGAATCAACATAAAACATATTCTCTTTATCTCTATTTACCATCCTTCGTTCTGCACCGAATATTAATAAATCATGAAATATTCAATATTTCAATTGCGTACGAAACTGATTTTTTACAACTATCCATTCGCCCGAATGTAATGTCAGCCAGGAATCATTTCACTTTTACCAATTCACACTACTATTGTAGACAAAGCTGCCCTGTCTCTTCTTTACAAAGCGAAGAGGATAAGCTATGTAATAAACTTTTGCAAATTTGTACGATGCAAATTGCATAAATTTGAAAATTTTAACATTTTCTTTCATTTTTGTTGTTGTTGTTGTAGCTGTAACTATTCCAATCTATATTTAATGTTTGTATGTATGTGTCTACTTCTTCCTCTTTTCCTGTCATTCTTTTAGGTGTTCTGGAAGCGGAATTTCAAGAAAACGATGTGAATGTCATACCAATAACGTATCCTTTTGCGACGTCACACATTTGGTGGCCCATAAATCATGCCGAAGAATTTAATATCAAGTTCGATTTCCGCAGTAGCCGTACAGCGGCAATACTGGCATACAGCGATGTGACAACACAAGACGGAAATGGTTTCTGGGAGGTAAGTGTCGAATAAATGTCTTAAGAATGATTCTGTGAGTGACAGACAGTCTGACGGACGGACGGAATGAATGAATAACCGACTGACGGAATGTGAATTTTTCTGTCTATTTGACAGTGTAATATGTAGAGTGTGAATCGCATATATATTTTAAAACAGACGATACACTGCACATTGCAATATTGGAGTGTATTTGTACGTAGTGAAGTAATGATATTTCGTGTGTGTGAGTATGGGTGGGAATTTCCTTAAATAAATGATTATGCCATATTGCACAAATCGATGTCTGTTTTATGAACGCTTAAAATTGTGAGATTCCAGGAAACTTGAAGACGAGGGCTGATTGGGCAATGTCAAAAATATGTAAAAACCAGTAAGGAAAGTAGTAAAGTCGCACTGGGTCGACTATATGATACCCTACACAACTACTACGAAAAGTCTGGGCAATATTTCGTGATATTTTCACCCTTTTTACCGATTATAGATCAACAACTCCTCTTTCTAAGTCTTGCATATTTTCCAAAATGTTTTTTCTTGAAGTGAATTTTTACGCCATACAATAAAAAATTGGTCACTTTAGGTTTTTGTTGATTTGACACTCGGAAAATTGACCGATCATCATCTAAACAACCGCTCTAAGTATTTGGTCAGATCCCCTTCACCTTGTAAAATATGTGATGTTCTCTATATAATAATTACTTCTAGAGCGACTAGAAAATCTGGAAAATTAAAGTTTTCGGTTCATTGTACGTCCTGAATGAAATCTCAACTTCTTACTTACTTAGCTGGCTTGTTACAGAACGGTTGTTCCATAAGCCGAGCTTAAAAAAGATTTCCAAGCGCGTCGGTCTTGTGCGCAAGTCCACCAATTTGGAAGACCACGTTCCAAGATGTTTTTTTCTACTTGGTCTTTCCATCTAATTCGTGGCCTTCCCCTTCTACGGGAACCATCCGTAGGCTCATTTTTATATGCCTTTTGAGCTGGAGCATCTTCATTCATCCGCACAACATGGCCTAGCCACCGTAGTCGCTGCAGCTCAATACGACTGACTATGTCGATGTCTGCGTATAAATTGTAGAGCTCGTGGTTCATTCGACGCCGATATTCACCGTCGACGTAGATCGGCCCGTAGATCTTTCGGAGAATTTTTCTCTCAAACACCCCAAGCGCTGCCTCATCTGCTTGCGCAAATACCCATGCTTCTGATCCATACCCATGCTTCTGATCAACTTCACCGAAATTTATAAGCGTCGTCCTTGACCATAATCGGAACTTCATGTACAATTTCAAAGCGATCAGCGCGACCTTTCCGTCCTCTAATGGAGTAATAGTAATAATATGCACATAGTCACCTTTAATTAATTACGTATAACTCCCGCATCGGAGTGCATACAGCCATATAATTAGTATCAATTTGAAGGTCAACAACTCATCTTGGATATACTATCAACATCTCCAATATATGTCCTTCAGGAGCAAGTATATACGCCGCTAAATATTGACCGATCTTTATCAAAACAGGCATGCTTATTCTTAGGCCCGATCCCCTTCTCCATGTAAAATTTCACGATGTTCGGACCATAACTGCGGCCTCTAGAGCGACCAGAAAAACAGACAAAAATTTAGTATTTGGTCCATTTCATCCCCTAAATATTAACCGATCTTTATCGAAACCCATCCTACATGCAAAATTTCGTGAAGATTGGTCCATAACTGTGGCCTGTATCGTGTTTACAAATTATAATGGACAGACGGACGGACGGACACACATGTCTAGATTGACTCAGCTAGTCGAAATATGACGATCGGTATACTTAAAGGTGGGTCTAGGACCAATATTTCGCGGCGTTACAAACTTTTGGGGCTGCACAAAGCTATAATACCCTGACAACATAGTTGTGTAGGAGCAATATAGTGGAACGAGGCCGACCATTTGATATGCTACACAACTACCACTGAACATAAACTTTCAGTTGCTTAATATTCGAGTCTTGGTAATATTTCGCGATATTTGTACACTTTTGATCCTGTCATCTTTTCCGAATCACGTCTTCCCATAAGATTCGAATATTGGTATTTAACAGGCAAAAGTGTAGGTTCATTTGACCCGCTCAGTATTCTTCGTTAATTCATTCTAATTAATTGGACAGACCCCTTTCCCCATGGGAAATTTGTGACATTCAATCAGACAAAAATAAAGTTATAGGTCCATTTCATCATTCTAAATTATCATGTGATTATCAAGCGTCATCATTGACCATATCTGGAACCTCCAGGAAAATTTCCAAGCCATCTGCGCTACATTTCCGCCCTCCAGTGTGGTAATGGTAATACTAAACAATATCAGCATAGGAAGACGCCTGTAATTATTAACGTGTAACTGGCTCATCCAGGTAGATAGAACAAAAAAATTTGTGTCAATTTGAAGGTCAACCACTCCTATTGGATCCTCCTATTCGATCTATGTCCTTCTGGGGTAAATTTATACACCATAGAATGCAAATTTTGCCACTTTTCACAAAAAAGTCTGATCTTCATCAAAATAGTCATGGTTTTTCTATAGTTATTCTATTGTGGCCTCTGGAGCGACCAAAACCAGACAAAACCAGTAAGGAAAGTAGTAAAGTCGGACGGGGCCGACTATATGATACCCTTCACCACTATGGGTATATTAAACAGGACTATTAACATGAAATTGGATAAAATAAAATATGTGATATTTATCTAAATGTGAATCTACCTAGATCTATCCATAAATTATGTAAATCGACTTCAAACAAATATAAATAGGTCATCCGTTGGGCTATGTCTGTACTTCTAGAAAACGCAACTACGTAATTCTATGCTCAATTTTGTACATTGTGCAAAATTTGATGTCAATCTGACTAACATGAGGAGTTTGATGCCCAATTTACTTGAAATCTGGCGAAAATATATATGGAAGCTCTATCCAAATATTAGGCGATTTCAAACAAACTTGTCACAGGTTAGGTTATACTAATTTGAGAACGTTTTGTTCCTATCAGCATATTGGTTCCTTGGTGCGTCAATTACTTAAAATAAATCTATAATAAAAGGGAGCTATATCTAAATCTGGACCGATTTTCACGAAACAAGGCAGACATCACTCTAGACTCAATTCAGTACGTTATGCCACATTTCGTGCAAATCGAAAGATATATAGGGACTTTGGTGCATCATTTATATGAAATCGGACGAAACTATATATGGGAGCTATATCTAAATCTGGACCGATTTTCACGAAACTTGGCAGACATAATTCTAGGCTCAATTCAGTACGTTATGCCAAATTTGGTGCAAATCGAAAGATATATAGGGACTTTGGTGCACCATTTACATGAAATCGGACGAAACTATATATGGGAGCTATATCTAAATCTGGACCGATTTTCACGAAACTTGGCAGACATCATTCTAGACCTAAATGATTATGCTGAACCAAATTTCGTGCAAATCGAAAGATATATAGGGACCGTTTACATTAAATCGGTTAAGTATATATATGGGAGCTATATCTAAATCTGAACCGATTTTTCCCAATTTCAATAGGGTTCGTCCTTGGGCCGAATAAGTGACATTTGCCAAATTTTATCCAATTCGGATCATAAATGTGACCTGTACTTTGTTTACAATTTAACATGGACAGACAGACGGACGGACATGCATAAATCGACTTAGAAAGTGATTCTATGCATATTCTCAAAAGGAACCATGTGTCTATCTCGTTTTACCCATCTGTTGGGAATTCATTATCATTGTTTTTTACTTCAGCTGAGTTCATGATTTGTATGCTAAAGTCTGCCCAATGTCCTGGTGCTGCCATCTATCGCTGCCTAGAAACAACGCCTCTTTGAATTTTTTATAGTGGTTGGGGTCCTTACTTATTAAGTGTTGACATTTTCCATTATGAAATAAATAGTGTATCATAGGTTTTGTGGTTGTTCGACTGAGGAGAAAAATGCAATGAATGGCGAGTTTGTTATTACTGTGTGTGAAATCGGTTCCTTTTTTTTTTTTTTTTTTTTTGATATAGCTCTCATATTTATTTCTGTCTGATTTTATGTAAATGGTTTCCAATGGTACACTATAGATACTAACTCGGCCCGACATGTGGCTCTATACTTATTATACTCTAGACTTTATTCAGTTTCTGTACAGACCAATTGGTCTTTATAAAACTCAGTATTCGCTATATAGATCATGTCTTTATAAAGCCCTGTGTTCTCTATACAGACCAATTGTTTAAAATTGTTTAATCTTTACTAATAAGAGAGTGTAGTGATTGACTGACTAACTGATTTAACGATTCATGAACGCCCAGACGAAACGGCTGAATCTAGAATCTTAAAATTTTGGGTGAGGGTCATTCTTGGTCCAACTGTGACAGATAAGAATGGGATTTTGGAAATTCGTACTAGAACGGTACGAAATGTACTAAAAAGTACTAATCTATACTAATAAAAGAGTAAAGTGATTGACTGACTGACTGATTTAACGATTCATCAACGCCCAGACGAAACGGCTTAAGCTAGAATCTTGAAATTTTGGGTGGGGGTCACTCTTGGTCCAAAGGTGACAGATAAGGCTGGGTTTTTGGAAATTCGTACTAGAACGGCACGAAAATTACTAAAAAGTACTAAATGTGATACCATTTGTATTTGGCGAACCGGTCTGAAACTCTGAAATTTGGTTTGGTGATCGCTGATGGAGTGTAGGATAGGTGTCGCAAAGGGTTTTAGAAAATCGAACTAAAACTATCCGAAAAGTACGAAAATGTACTAAATTTGGTACAATTCTGTAGCTTTTGAACGGATAGCCCTAAAAACTTGAAATTTGTAGTGTAAATTATGTTTGAGATATAGGGTCCATTTAAGGAGATGGTTTGTAAAGCGTGTACTCATGTGTACAAAAATTACGAAAAGTACTAAATCGTACTATAATCGGTACACTTTGGATTTGAGGGAACCGATAGAACGGG